ATTGCAATATTCAGAAGAATTTTTTTTACAAAATACTAAATCACTGTAGCAACATCTACTAGTTGTCTTGAGTATTCCTACATGTTCTTCTATTATGTCCTTATTTTCCACACAGTCCACATGTAACAGTTTTAGTATACAGATATTCATAAAGTCCCTTGCGTCGCGACTTCGTCGGTCTTCCTGGTTTGCCCTTCACTATCGGTGGTAGGACCACATTATCTAACACCTTTGTTGGAAAGTCCCATGTAGTTTCATCAGGAAGTGGATTAACTGACACTTCATATGTCTTCTTGAAGTATTCCTTGGTGTAATAGGCAGAACAATATTTGGGTACTTCCATGTGTGTGTAGTCCAATACCGCCATAGCATGTGGACAAGGAATCTCATCTACTTGAAATCGTTTGCACGAGCATTCTCTTTTTTGCATGTAGACTATGTTCCGCCTTTGTTCAGCATCCATTACTACATATACATAATCGGTTGAAGGCTTTACCTAAATTTAAATAGATATTATTAGTAAAACTAAAACCTGGATATGACAAGTATTATTGCATTTTTGTCAAAGTATGTTACTCCGGCATATGAAGTAAGACATGATAAAAGAATATTTACCGTCATCTTCTGCGACAAATAGCTATTTTCCTTCAGTACTTCATGATATTTTTGTCCTATATCAATAAATATACTCATTGCAGTCATTCTATTCGTATTATTCCATTTCATAACCAAATTCATCATGTAATCTAGCAAACTCATGATTGGTAGCTCTCTTGCCTCTCTGTTCCTTGCATTGAGTGACTCGACAATATTTGAAGTCATCACCATGGATCTATTAACAGTGAAATGCACTATAGACCACTTTTCATAACCAACTTGGAATAGGTAACCCCTTACCCTCTTATCAATGATGTCCATATCTTCCATGAGGCGATTAAAATCTTCAATTTTGTATGCTCTGGCCATTGCAAAAAATACTTCCCTCAGCCGGTCATGGTTCTTCTTGAACTGCTTTTTTATGTTATTCCAAAGATGAAAGATGCATACACAGTAAGATACCTCTGGATACACAATCGAAGTACCCCTCAATATGCTTGCATGACGATCCGATACAATGCACATCCTTTCCCTTTCCCCAAAAGCATGTCTAAACATTTCAAAAAATCATTCCCAGGAAGCATCATTTTTAGAATCTACAACAGTGTATGCTAGTGGAAAATTTTTACCTGCTTAAGCAAATAAGAAAGTATCCACATATTATTTTTGTTATACACAAATAAGAACTATCTATACCATATATAATTATTATACGAGTCTGCAACATATTCACCTGCTGCATCTTGTGCGCTAGCTGTTAACATTGTTCCTCTGTGTGATGATTTGAGGAATGTCCCATCAACCACTACGATAGGGTAACAGTATTTCCATCCTATGATTGATGCATTTAGTGCAATAAAAACATACATGAAGCGACCGTCCTCTGATTTATGTAACCTTGTGACAGAACCAAGATTTGTCATATTTATCATATACAAGTGACCCGACAGTTTTCTATAAGATTCACGTGGTATCCTTCTTAGTAGTTCAAGCGCCTTTTCTTTTGTTCTATAAGTTTTTATGTAACTCATATTAATCCCATACTGTTGTTTCATGTCGCTCATGATGTCTGTCGGAGTGTATATTATTTTTGGATTGGTATATTTATTGCAAATCATTTTTGCAATGGCTGACGAAGTAGCATGACGTTGTGAAAACAATCTACTCATCTCTGGGCAAGTGTGAACATCATTGAACCGTCTAACCTTGAAGACATTTGATTTGTGTAGACTTGAAGATCTAAGACTCCATTTGTAACTTTCATCCACGCATATAAGATAATACCTATTTAAAATATAGTGTTATGATAATGCATTTATTAAGATTTTTACACGTGTCTCAAATAAACAAGCAGTATACATATGCAATTTTATTATACAATAATTATACATTTTTAATACAGATCTGTATACAAATAATTACAGAGAAGTATAATTTTATTATACAATAATTATACATTTTTTATACAGATCTGTATACAAATAATTACAGAGAAGTGTAATCTTATTATACATTTTTATACAGATCTGTATACAAAAAATTACAGAGAAGTGCAATCTCACTATTCAATAATTATACATTTTTTATACAGATCTGTATACGAAAAATTACAGAGAAGTGTAATCTTATTATACAATAACTATACATTTTTATACAGATCTGTATACGAAAAATTACAGAGAAGTGTAATCTTATTATACAATAACTATACATTTTTATACAGATCTGTATACAAAAATTATAGAGAGTGCAATCTTATTATATAATAATTATACATTTTTTATACAGATCTGTATACAAAAAATTACAGAGAAGTGCAACCTCATAAGTAGAAATCATACCTTGTTGTAGATGATCTATCCACTATAAATTGATATTTTTTCCGTATTGCGTAGTGCTTCATTACACTAATGAGTGTATCTTTGTCCCAATACAACTGACCTTCTGCAATTTCTTCATGTTGTGGATTGTTTATTATACAATTTCCCTTCAATATCTCAATTTTGTCTTCCTTTACATGATTATCCATCATCTCAACAATATTAGTTCTGTGTACTTCTTCTACATTCTGATACTGTAAACCAACTGAAGTTGTTGCGAGTAAGTTTCCAACTGAAGTTGTTCCGAGTAAGTTGCCACCCAAGTATGAACTTGAATATGAGCATTCAACACTTGAATATACAGTTTTCAATGTTATGCATAATGGATATTCAGTGATATCCAGGTTTTTCTTTTTCATCTCCATATACAAGCGCACACTCATATCATTGTATATTGGAATTGCTACATAGCCATCCTTCACTGTATATTTTATCTCCATTGCACTCGTAATTGAATCTCTACCCAATTGCTTGTATATCTCATCAACAAAATAATCATAGCTACAGTCCGAATTGATCAACACGCCATTAACAAGGAAATTAACAAATTTACTCTCACTTACCCATTCACCACTGTGTTGAAGTAAAATCGGAATCAAAGTTGGAACTGTAGTTCCAACATTCACAATCTCCATAGACATTTGTTGATTTTGTCGATTTTGTATCAATTTCACAATTTAAGAACGAAATCTCAACTCTATTAAGCTGATTGTAGGCAACAATTGTGCAAAAAATTTGAATTTCAGTGTGAATTTTTGGGAGCTCTTCTCTGGGTTTAATCTTCAGAAACCCTAGAATTTCTTTCACAATGTGAATAATTGGGCGACTTTAATAGTGTTTGGAGGTTGAAGATTCCATACTGAATGCGTGAATTTAGGATACAAAATCGATTAGGACTGCTTTCCTTTTCGTTTACGTTGAGCGTATGATTTCAGCTTTTTCAGTTGCTCGCCTTTGTTATTGTTTTGAGGCTATTACTTGTAAGGGGTTATTTTGTGGCTATCAGGTGATATAAGTTTGACCCTAGTGGCTATAAATGAAGTTTGCTCCTTAAGATACGCACGATTGCGCGCGTGTATCCCATATTAAGGATATAAAAAATTGACACTCACATAAATATAATAAAGAGTTATGGTTAATAGTTCAAATAGTATATGATTTATATCAGATAACATTTTAATAGATTTTAAAGTCCTAAGTATTAGTGATTTCTACGTACTTCAAATAAAGAAAGGTTTAATAAGCAAATTTTTTATATGTATTCTACAGCTCTTCTACTGACTACTGCCTTTTTCCTAAATATTAGAAAAAGTATAGCTATAGTTGTTTCATAATTAAAGTGAATCGTTTATATAAGGTAAACTCTTCATTGATTTTTAAATTCTTTTTCATAGTTTAAATAAGAAAAGATATAGTAATAAATAGAATTTTAGTTGATTTAAAAGTCTTAAATATAAGGAAGATAAGTAAAATGATAATTTTATTCAATGTAAAATTAACATTTATATAATAAAAAAAGATAACGTCATTTCGCTAAGAGCCTTCGTGCTTTTAATATGGTATATATAGATTGACATATAACGGGTGAACCCTTATTTTCAATATTTCCTACTCACACATAATGGGAGTGCTAGTCTAATATGAGAAACTTAAAAGTAGACTTTACGACCAAGGCGCTATACATTAACTTGTTAGCAGTATAAAGTCTCCCGTCAAGAACAAACCTGCAAGTAGACCATAAAGTATGCAGTACCCTAAATCATACTTATGAATCATATTTTGATATAAATATCAAAATCTCATATATCATTATATTTTGTATTCACAGATATAACTCAAAAGTTATAACGAATGCATTAATGAACACAAATTAATGAGATTAGATCAATAACCCTCTTCTTATGATCCCTTTAACATTAGTTCAATTGTTTTTCTAGGTTTGCTCAGCCTGACCGAATATGTGTTCATGGTCTTTTGAAAGTATATTAAGATAGCTCACATCAAACTAAGTCTCAAATATATTATCAGAGTCATTAAGGGTACAAATCTTAAGAAATATATAGGCTCTAAGTCTCACTCATTAATAAGTTGAGATTAGACTTATATTATAACCTCATAATTGGACGACACTGACACATGGTTTAAAACACATGCTGCAATATTTCTTTTTATAAAGAGCGTATGTTTTTTTATCTCATAGAAAAAGATGTACAGATGATATTCAGACACCATAAATAGTCCCTTGATCTACAATAACGTTTTTAACTCAACTCTAGTTCACCATGTACACTAGGTAAATATATTTTAAACATAATGATCATATGTCATTGTTTGTGCGACGTTCGTGACTTTAGTGACCTATGTCATTTGATAATTTTGCTTAAAATCTTGTTTCATCTCCACTCATCACTAATGTAGGGAAGTGGTTGCCTACGTGAGAAGGCTAGCCTCTTGTATACTGGACAAACTTATCAAATATGAATGAACAAAGAGAGTACTTAACATATAACAGAAAAATACTTGTGTTTGTAAATTAAATTTATCAATAATCAAAGAACTATCAGTTTTGTGAACATGAAAATTAAAGATTAGAATGAAGTATTTCAAACTTTATCCAAGCCTTAAGACCTAGTGTGCCTGATAAATACATCTCTATACAAAGTCTGGATCAATGGTTTTGCTAACATATCTTTTGTAGACGCATACTTCATGTTTACCACCTTGAATCTAACCATGTGTCTCGCATAGAGGATATTGCAGTCTCACAGTCACAGTAGACTAACATTGGTTCAATATTTTATGTGATATACAATAAGTGCTCCAAGAACCTTTTCCACCAAACAGCTTCTTATGTTGCTTATGCAAGAGCCACATACTCGACTTTCATCACAAATAATGATATACAATAATTGTTTCTTACTACTCCATGACATTACGCCATCAATGAGTAAGTAACACATCCAGAGATAGACTTCCTTTCATCTAAATCTCCTCCATGCTCAACATCATTGTGTCCAATTAATCTCAAGATATTTGTTGCCCTGGTGACTAAGTGTGTAATCCGTAGTTCCTTCAGATATGTCATGATCCTCTTTACTAATTGCCAATGCGCATGACCAAGGTGGTGGTTGAAGTGACGCAGCAGGCTGTTCTTTTTGCCGTGCTGCAGCGGACTGTTTTAGTTGAGATGGTGCAACAGGCGGTTCTTTTTGCACTGCTGCAGCAGACTGCTCAAGTTGAGCTGGCGGGGCAGGCTGTTCTTGTCCACGTCTTACACAAGGCCTCCAAACTGTTTCTGTCCCTATGTCCATTAAAGCAATTCCCTTGGCCACTAAATCTGTTCTAATCTGATCGCTTCTTGCAAACTCCTTATTTTTCCTTGCTAGTGCTCTTTCCTCTATTGCACGCAAAATATCTTCCTCCGTCAAGTCAGCCCTTTTCAGTGCTCTCTCTTTAAACTGCTGCAAAACCTGCACAACACAACAAATGAGTTGAATAAGACATCTGAGACTGGCCATATAGTAATAGGAAAGAAATGTGCTCTCTGTTCCAATATGTTTGGCTATGTTGCACGGACGCTCCAAAATATTGTCGTACCCGTGTCAGATCCTCCAAACATATACTACTTTTGCAAGATCTGACACGCATCGCCATACATTTTCGGAGAGTCTGAGCAACATAGCTATTTGGCATTGCTCGACAGGAAAGAAGATACAGGGAGTATTAATTTTTTAAACCACAAAAATTGAGAGGTGCTAATCTTTTAAACGGAAAAAAAAAAAAAAAAAAAACTGCCCAAAATAATTGAGACACGGAGTATTAATTTTGACAGCACCTCAGCACAAGTTGAACCAAGGAGCAATCCAAGGACATCTAGCACTGCCTTCACTTCTTTCTGGAGCTCGGTTAGGTACAGAATAACAGATAACTGTTGCTGCTTTTTCTGGAAAGTATCAAGAGATAATGGAACATTTGTACCACACCAGCCATGAGCAGAAGTGAAAAAAGAAGGTAGAGTTCCCACCTTCAGCATGTTCACATAGCTATTCATAAGTCTAAGGGCTTCTTGAAGAGCAGTATTTAAAATTGCAGGTGTATGCAAATCATCAGAAAGCTTTATCTCCAACTCATTACGCAACTCGCTGATGCATTCTTGGGCCTGAGGGCTAACACGCACCCCCTTTACTTTTGTTTCTGTTTCGGTTCCTTGTTGGAAAGCAGACAAAGCTTCTTCATTATCATGTAAGGTCTATCCACCACAAAAATTATCTAAATAAATGACTTTAAAGAAAAAGGATAGATTCTAACTATAGATTGTCTTGGGAGAGACAGTTTCAAATGCTTGTATCAATCAGCGAGAAGCAAAAGTAATGGAACTATGAGGTATTAAAAGGATATTAAAAGTTTTTCCCTACCTGATAAATGTAATACACAGATTCTGAAGCAATTTCTATCTGTGATATTGAGTAATTAACAGGAGATCGGTAGTGCGTCCCCAACAAGAAGTACCTCAATGCAATGGGATGGTACAATTGAGTAACCTACAAAACATGTATGCTATGATTCAGAGCATTCTAAAAAGAACCACATTAAGACAGTAGCTAATGAGTACATTCTACCTCACGTATAGTGAAGAAGTTCCCCAATGATTTCGACATTTTCTCGTCATCTATGGTAACAAAACCATTATGTATCCAGCAGCTAACATTACTCTCCGGGCCACAAGCAGCGCAATTCTGGGCAATCTCATTCTCATGGTGAGGAAAAATCAAGTCCATTCCACCACCATGTATATCAAAAGAATGTGTTAAATAGTAGGCACTCATTGCACTGCATTCTATATGCCAACCTGGTCTTCCACGACCCCAGGGGCTGTCCCAACTTGGTTCACCAGGCTTTGCAGCCTGTAAAGAAATGAAACTGGCATGTAAAGCTAAAGCAGTAACTTTATAGAAAAGCAAAAGAAAACTTCACACCTTCCACAAGGCAAAGTCAGCAGGATTTCGCTTTCTTGAATCAACTGCAAGGCGTCCTCCAGCTCGATTATCTTCTAATTTTCGTCCAGATAGGCGACCATACTCTGGAAAACTATCGACAGAGAAATAAACATCTCCATCAACTGTATAGGCATAGCCATTAGTCATTACCTACAGGTGACACCTAAAGATCATTAGTGCATAAATAATAGCATTTAGAAGAAACCAGAGCATATATGGGGAAGAAGAAAAGACAAAAAGCAGTTTACGCTAGATCTAAGAAAGAAAGATTATAGAACTGCAGATTTTAAGCAGTATGTTGCACTTTCCTCTCATCAAACACAGTTTTACTTCCACTGACGGCATTGTCCATCCTTGCTACATATGCACTTCTCTCACTGTATACTAGAATAAATATTACACTCTCTTTAGTGTAAAGGACACAATCTTGGAATGTAGTTCTTAGTTTTTTTTCCTTTCAAAAGCAGCAGTCATGAAGAAACAAATTTGCACAGAAAAAGATGGGTATTCATGTTACTAAATTTCGGAGTAGGAGAAACCACATATTAATTTTGAATTAAAAGGAGATAATGAGAGGGAGCCCATCAATAGGCTTTTAACTGTCAAAACACGTTTTGGAAGAGATAATCTAGATGTGAGAACCTTAGCTATCATTTCCTTAATCTCCTCCATATGCTCACTAACACGAGGTTGATGAGTTGGTGGGAGGCATTGGAGATCATCCATGTCTTTTTGAAACTCCTGGCAGTATCGACCACTCAAAGCTATTGGGTCCTCTCCAAACTCATTAGCCCGACGAATTATCTGAAAAGAACCGACTGTTAAGCACCTGAAGTATTATATACAGTGAGCTAACTGATATTGCCATGCTTATCGTAAAATAAAAAGAGATAAGTTGTCTCCTCTTCTTAGTCAAAGAAGTTCCTTTTGTCATGGGAGAGAAAGAGACTTACTCCCCAAAATAAATGTAATTCTCACCTTTTCATCTACATCTGAGAAGTTGCACACATACACAACATCATATCTCAAGTATTTCAGATATCTGTAAATTCCAAATCAGACTGTTAGTTAATTTGAAGTAAAAAAAACCACAGACTACTAAAAGAACTAATCTAAATGCACCGACATTGAGCCATACCAAAACACATGATAAAACATAAGTCCCAAGATAATAAAAAAAGATGCAGGTTAAAACAATAAGCTCTTCGTGGGTTCTTTTCTTTTTCCTTTTCTCCTTTTTGCAGGTAACCACTAACCCAAGCTCTTTTTGGTTCCCATGTTCAATGACTCCTAGGAGCTACTAAGTCCAAGTTAATCTGGTAAAGAGGTGCCAAGATGCACCAACCACCTATGACACGTTACAACTTACAATAGCCACAATACTTATACTACAAGAAATGCAATATAACACAAAACTCAAACATCCACGGTAATGAGAAATTGATAATAAAAAATGGAGAGCATAAAAATAAAATAAAAACCAATTTCATAGGAACACTTCCCATGCTAGTTGGTGACATTCCTTCAATGATTCAGTTTCTATCTTCATCAGCAGATTCATACCACATATCAAATTTTTTCCCCAAAATCAGCATAACTGTCGATAATACTACCAAGAGTAGCAACAAGAAGTCTTCATTTACTAAATCTATTCCTGCTATCCCATTTTGTTCAGCACACAAATCAGCTAACTTCTTTTAATTACAATTTTCCCATCCATATTTATAAAAAGTCGTCTTAGTTTCAGTGCATTTTTTATTTTCATAAAGTCAATGAAGAGGGGGACAAGAATATTGTGCCGGGTGATTTGGAGCATTCCGAGAGCCGTAAAGATTTTGGGTATTGTAGGCGTATAAGGTTGAATAGGTTGAAAGGGCTATGCGTAGGATGAGCAGGGGAAAGGCGACCGGGCCAAATGAGATCCTTTTAGAATTTTGGAAGAGCGCGAGCAGAGCAGATTTGGAGTGGCTAACTAAGTTGTGTAATGTCATTTTAAGACGGCCAGGATGCCCGAAGAATGGAGGGGGAGCACGATGGTCCCGTTGTACAAGAACAAAGACGATATTCAAAATTACAACTATAGGGGTAACAAGCTGTTTAACCACACTATGAAAGTTTGGGAAAAGGGTGGTAGAGAAAAGGCAAACACTAAAATCCCCAATTTCTCCAATTCAAATCATCAATCAAACACTAAAATCGATGTTGGAAGCATGAAATATATAAGCAAATTCGAGTTAAAAATACTTATCCCAATCTGAATTATGATAATCCCCTCAAAAATCGACCAAATCTGAGCTCTAGATCTCAAATTGCGATAAAATAACTCAACCCCTCGAAATATAAGGCTTCTCCCAGCACTTTCGCACCTGCGATCCACTAACTACTTTTGCAGAGCCGCATCGGAGACAAAACCTCGCTTCTGCGAGTACCCATAAAATCCCGATCTCTCGCACCTGCGGAAGATCTTCCGCTTCAGCTACATTGCAGGTCCCGAGGAAAGCTCCACATCTGCGCCCTACTCGCTTATGCGCCAAACTGACCGCTTCTGCGGTCTCGCAGATGCGGTTAAATCTCCGCATTTGCGAACTCCTGCTCCCAGCTCCAAATTGCACTTATGCGCCAAGGCGATCGTATCTGCGGTTTCGCACCTGTGCCCAAAGCTCCGCAGGTGCGACCACACCAGAACCAGACCTGCCCAACACCCTTAAATTATCCAAACTCAATCTGAAACACACCTGAGCCACATGGGACCCCGTCCGAACATACCAAAAAGCCCCAAAACATAACACAAACCTACTCGAGGCCTCAAATCAAACATAATAACATCAGAATGACAATTCATACCTCCATTCAAGTTTAATGGACTACTTCAAATTTCCAAATTTCAAACTCCTGCCGAACCATATCAAATCAACCCGGAATGATAAAAAAAATTTGCAAACAAGTTCCGAATGACATAAAGAACCTATTACAACTCCCAGAACAACAATTCGAACCCGATAACCTCAAAGTCAACTCTCAGTCAAACCTATAAACTTTCCAAACCTTCAAATCACCAACTTTGGCCAATTAGCGCCAAAACCTTTCAAAACATCGGAATGCAAATTTGGGCATACACCCAAGTCCAAAATCACTGTTTGGACCTAAGGAACCATTAAAACTCCAATTCGAAGTCAAATACACAAAAGTCAAACTTAGTCAACTCTTCAAATTTAAAGCTTCTAAAATGAGAATTGTTCTTCCAAATCAATCACGAACCACTCGAAAACCAAAACCGACGATACACGCAAGTCATAATACACCATATGAAACTGGTCAAGACCTCAAACCGTCGAACGAAGTGGAAATGTCAAAACGACCGGTCGGGTCGTTACATTCTCCCCCACTGAAATATATGTTCGTCCTCGAACGTGCCAAGAGTCGTTCTAAAGCCATCAAATCACCCTATAATCTCCCATACCCATAACTATGGGTGATCCCACGTTACCCTAATCCATATAAGCCTGACAACACAACCTAATTGAAGGTCCTGACCTCAACCTTAGTCCATAAACCTTAGAACCCAAATCCCCAGCGTCCAGAACTCATTATAAGACCCGATCCTTGCATCTATACATCGTATAAGTCTGAACAAGTTATATCAAGCCATAATCATATTCCAAATATAATCACATGATATTCTACATAACTTGGATACTTCTAATAATAACTTCCGACCAGAATGGCTACACAATGACAAACCCGGTACCGGTAACAAATCTCATATTAAATAAAACCTTGTTCTAAACCTTCGTACACAACCAATGATGAAAGATACATACAGAAACTCATAACTACCCATCAGATCAACAAATCGTAGAGCTCTCTCGCTCGATAAGAACTATAGCCGGAATCTAAGCTGACAATGTCGTTATTCTTCCATACATACCTTAATCAAATCTGATAGCACTCATTCCAGGTCCAATACCCTCATCTCATCTAGTACAATCTGCTCGACCAACACGCTCCACCAGCATCACCTCCTAGGATTCATGACGAGGGGATCGACTACATAAGTTGTCCCCCTGATGAGAAGAATGGTGGAACAATATAGGGAGAGGAAGCGAAACGTACATTCGGTGTTCATTAATCTAGAAAAAGCAACGACGGAGTCCACAGAGAAATTTTATGGAAATGTTTGGAGGCCAAAGGGGTTCCTGTACGTACACTAAGGTGATTAAGAACATGTATAAGAGACCCGTGACCTGGGTTAGGACAGTGAGAAGAGACTCAAATCACTTTCCGATTGTGATGGAGTTGCATCAGGGATCAGCCCTTAGCTCATTTTTATTTGCCTTGGCGATGGATGAATTAACACGACACATTCGATGGGAGGTGATGTGGTGCATGTTACTTGCAAATGGCATAGTACTGATTGACGAGTAACACTAGGCTGGAGGTTTGAAGACAGACCTTGAAGTCCGAGGGTTTCAGGTTAAGTAGGACCAAGACAGAATACTTGGAGCAGGGGGGGCGTATGCAGAATTTCTCGTAAGCAATGTCGATATTTAAAAAGATAGATTAACAATCCAATATAATGATATCATATACTAAAAAAATACAGTTCTAAGTCATATTAATAAAGTACATTACTATAACTCTTTTTAGTGAGTGATTTACTCTTTTGGAATGGACTTATAATATCCCAATTGAAAATAATACTTAATACTTCTTTTTGTATGTAAGAACCATGCTCAAAACTTACAAAAACACACAGATATAAGTACTGAGGTTCGAACCCACGACATCTCACAAATATTTTAGGCGCTTAACCGTGTGAGCGAAGCCCTCCTATTTGACAAGCAACATCATTTTAATTGATTTAATAGTTATTTCATTTCTGTATATTTAGCAAAATTTTCCGACAAAGTGGTGCCATACGCTAGGGTGGGTCCGCCCCTGACTCGGGGTGCAAGTTCAGTGACGTAACTCGGGAAGCCGACATGGAAGCCAGGCTTGATACACAAGTCATACCAAAAAGAGGGAGTTTTAAGTATCTTGGGTCAATAATATAAGGTAATGGGGATATTGATGACGATGTCTCACACCGTATAGGGCGGGGCAGATGAAGTGGAGGCTCGCATCTAGTGTCATGTGTAATAAGAATATACCACTAAGACTTAAAGGTAAGTTTTAAAGAGCGGTTGTTAGGTGAACTATGTTGTACGTGGCGGAGTGTTGCTAATCAAGAACTCCCAAATGCAGATGTTGAAAGTACCAGAAACGAGGATGCTGAGATGGATGTGTGGACATACTAGGAGAGATAAGATTAGAAATGAAGATATTTGGTAAAAGGTGAGCGGCCCCTCGTGGTGGACAAGATGCGGGAAGCGAGGTTGAGATAGTTCAGACATATGAAGAAAAGGTGCCCAAATGTCCCAATAAAGAGGTGTGAGAGGTTGACCATGGGGCCTAAAGAGAGGTAGAGGTAGGCCGAAGAAGTATTGGAGAGAGGTGATTAAAAAGAACATGGCACATCTATAGCTTACCGAAGACATAACCCTTGATAAGAAGGTGCGGAGGTTGAAAATTAGGGTAGAAGGTTAGTAGGACGTAGAGCATGTTCTCTTTTCACACATATAGTATCATCATTACTCTAGTAGTTTCAGATACGTAGATCTCCAATACTACCGGTTGTCTGTTTTGCTTTGCTTGTCTTATTATACTGCCTTTTGTTACGGCTTCTTTTTACATGGCTTCTCCATTGATGTATTTCTTTTCAAATATGCTTTCCCAGAGTCGAATGTCTCTATATCTTCACAAGGTGGAGGTAAGGTACACACTACACTCCCCGGACCCTATTTTTGTGGGATTGTGGTTGTTGTTGTTAAAGTCAATAAGACAAGGTCTGAAATAAAACTGGACTGTTTGCCCCTATATTCCAAATAGCGTCTTCTTCTTTTGGAGATGGGGAAATAATTAACAAAAACTTTATATCCAACACAATAAAATCAATCTCCAAATTCCCCTCGACTACTACTACTAGTAAACCTCAACCCAAACAAAATTAGGATTGGCTATATGAATCCTCTTAACCATCCTGTTTTTTGGGGGGCCAAAATTATTCCGATATTACTTTATTCTCAATAATTTAGGGTCTGTTAAACTACAAATTCTCTTAATCTCACACTGAACTCCTGACAAACATTGGACATAATGTAATTGTAACAACAATAGCTAAACCTTAATACCAACTAATTGGTATTGCCTATATTTTATTTTACTTTTTGATAGGTTAATTGGTACTACCTATGTGGATAGAACACAATGCTAAAGTTCCAATTTTGTTATTATTTAAACTAGTTATTTCAGAATAATTCCCATCAGACCGCCAAATTCCCCTAAGCTTTACTCAAACTTCCACTCTCTAAATTTCCGATCATGGCTCTTAATCAAACAACATCCCCTACTTGATTAATCCACATACAACAAACAACATAAACTTCCAAATCTATTCAAACTATTTATTTCAGAAAGATTCCAATATGATCCCCAAATTCCCCTACATGAACATGTTTCCCTCAAACTTCCCATTTTCCAAAACTCCAAACATGTTTCTTTACTAAATCAACTCCCTCTATGAACTATTCATCACAATTCGACACCAACACATAACATAGAAGGAAAGCAACAGGCCAAAATTACAAACAACTCTAACCAAAACAAATAAAAAAAATCTGCACTTCAATCATCCACATAGAAACAAATTCCGTAAGATTTGACCTGTAGAGAACGTCGAAGGCGACATATGAACGGGCATGGCCGATGTGACTGAAGTCATAGGGGCTAACACCACATATGTACATTTTAACCTTGCCAAGGTTCCTTCGATTTGAAAACCTACTTCTGCTTCGTCATTGTATTATATATCTGCAATTCCAACTTGTCCATCGCCATTTCTCACAAGTTTACTACCTTCAAAGGTACAGTATAAATTGTAAGGTAGAAAAGAGAGTTTAGGCAGTGTTACTTATTTTCCCCTTTCTTCGGCCTTTCTTTCCCTCTGTTTTAAACCCTTAGGAAATATATATATATATAACTTAATTTAGGAGTCGGCAAAGACTAGCTAAATTTTAATCAAATTTGGTTTCTATTCGAGTTATAAAAGACTAGGAAAATTTGGGAAATAGTTTCTACGGAAATTAACTCCAACAACCTTACAAAAAAAAATCTATTTATTTATGAAAGCATTAAACATAATGATACAAGTTGAAACTAATTTAGAAAAGAAGGAATTACAGCCCATGTCACTTGGCCTAATAGCCCAACCGAAAATGACCCACATTTAAAGCTCTTACCCTATTTAGCCCATGTTGTACATAACTTGAAAGAAGCTTTTAAGCCTTTAGCCCACTATTAAAGACATACTTTTAGGGTTTTTATTATTTTTTTCTTTCGCAGCAATATATATATATATACATTGGATCGGGCTGCGCGTCGCAGCGATATGACGATTGGGCTGTTGGAACCCCTCTGGAGTCTGTACACCCCCAGTGAGCGTAGTCGACTATAAATTATGGATCGGGCAGCACGCCGCAACGGTTACTATGATTACTATTATTATGAGATATTAATGAGCCTGAGTGCTGAAAGTGAGTATCGAGTGACTGAGAGGCTGCCCAAGAGGCCATATTCTGAGTGATACCTTACTCGAGGGGCCCAGATATGATATTTTCACTGATTTCACTCTTCTTTTAAAATAAGCCTCTGTTGAAAAATTGCTAAGTATATGATTGCAAGTGTTTAAACTGAAATTGATGATTTTATGATGAAACTATTTTAAATTGTGGAGTTTGATCTGTTATCCTGTTATTTATTCATTTATATGATTTTTAACTGCTCGTCACTACTTTCAGACCTTATTTACTTTAGTTACTTATTGAGTTTGTGTACTCACGTTACTCCATGCACCTTGTGTGCATATCCAGTGTCCGAGTGGCGGACTGAGAGTCCTCAGCATTTTCGGAGGTTATCGTAGATTGCAAGGTAGCTGCATGGCGTCCGCAACCCTGCTTTCCTCCTTTCTGCCTTATTCTTTTCCGCATTTTTAGGCTTATGAAGTATTAGACAGTTGGTTGTGTATTAGAGGCTCTAGACTCGTGACACTAGATGTTGGGCTGTGTTGTCATGTTTTTATTGACTTCCGCGTATTTCAGTTGTTTTAAACACTTTTATGAGAATTGGTATTCAAACTCGTGCTAGAAAAATGATTTTATGAAAGGAATTGGTTGTGGTTATATGGTTAGGTTGGCTTGCCTAGTAATGTGATAGGGGCCATCATGACCGAGCATTTGGGGTCGTGACATAAGCCTTAGAAATCAATTTTTGAAAGAAATTGTTTTGATGAGTTATTTATGAAATAAAGAAAAGAATGAATGTTTGACACCATTGGTATCGGGCCCGTATTTTGGTTCCGGAGCCCGGTACAAACTTGTTAAAGTATTTAAATGAGAACTGTGAAATTTGGTGAAATAATGGAGTTTATTTAACGTGATATAGACCTCCAGTCGAAGAGTTATGAACTTTAAAGTGTTCTTGATGAAAATGATGAGTTTTGAGGTTTTATTTATAGTTTTACATGTTATTTTCATGTTTTGGTTGCACGAGCAAGTCCTTATGATGTTTTTAGGTTGGCGTGCATGTTTGGTTTGGAGCCCCGAGGGCTCGGGTGAGTTTTGGATAGGCCACGGAGTGGAATTTAACTTAGGATGTTGCAGGTTTTTAGCTGGTATGTTGCAGGTCTGCAGGCTTCGCATTCAAGCTCGCAAATGCGAGCAAGAAAATGCGAGAAAATCACCGCAAATACGAAAAGACCTGGTCTACCTTGGGATCGCAAATGCGACGTAGTCATCGCAAAAGCGATGTCGCAAATGTGAATGGCCAATCGCATTTGCAAAGTGGCCTAGAATCCTTAAGTGTCGGAAATGCCACAACTCCATCGCAAAAGCGAGTTCGCAATTGCAAACATTAGTCGCAAATGCGAGAGTAGCAGTCTGAGGGGTTCGTAATTGCGAACTCTGGTCGCAACTGCGACACCTGCAACCTGCAAAATCATAACTTCGACGCATTTCAACCATTTTTCAAACCCTTTCAAAACCAAAACACTCTTGGGCGATTTTTCAAAGACAAGTACTCTTCCAAATCGATTGTAAGTCATTCTTAACTCGTTTTCTTCAATCTTTAACATCTTTTCTTATCATTTCAACTCAAATCAAAGGTTTTCATGGGGAAAAATTGAGTGTTTTGGGTAGAACCTAGATTTTTCAAATTTTAGGAATTTGGACCTGGATTTGAGGTCCGATTTCAAAATAAATTATATATTTGGATTCGTGGGGGAGTGAGTAATCGGGTTTTGGTTCGAACCTTGAGTTTTGACTATGTGGGCATGGGGTCAATTTTTGACTTTTTGGGAAAAACTTTATAAAGCCTATTTTCATGCATTGGAATTGATTCATTTAGCATTTATTGATATAGTTAAGTAACTTATGGCTATATACGAGCAAATTGGTGGTGGAATCAAGAGGTAAAGCGATAGTTGAGACTTGAATTGTGTTCGTGGCATCGAGGTAAGTGTTTGGTCTAACCTTAGCTTGAGATATTAGGAGTTGTGTCCTATTTGCTATGTGTTATTTTTTGAGTACGACGTATAGGCATGGTGACGAGTATCTATACGTTGGTGTCAAGCATGCCCGTGAGTCTTATATTATGATTATTATGACTCCGTTTGTATTGTTCATGCCTTTGGTGATGATTTCTATTGTTGAGTAAAACTTGTGGAAGTAATAGTGGTATTTGAGTATTGAAGAGTGTTGGCTCAAGTTGTATAATGAATTGTGGAAGTATAATTGGCATTTAAACCTTATAGAGCATTGGCTCAAGTTGTGAGGTAAGTGTGAAAAAGAGAAGAGGATTATTATATTGTCTCCATTGCCGGGATGTTGTTTCTTTCAATGCTATCTCCCTTGCCGGGATGTTGATGTTTTGATATTGTTCCCTGGCCGGAATTTGGTTGTTGTACGATTGTTCCCTTATCGGGATTTTATTGTGATTTCATTTATTTCCTTGCCCTTATTGCTTGTGATTGTTGTTTGGGTGAGGAAGAGTGTTAAAGCATGAAGGGTGATGCCGTGTATTATTTTGGTGAGAGAGTGTTAAAGCACGAAGGGTGATGCCGTGTATTGTTTTGGTGAGAGAGTGTTAAAGCACGAAGGGTGATGCCGTGTATGATTTTGTGAGGAAGAGTGTAAAGCACGAAGGGTGATATCGTGCCGCACGATGTACAATTCCGTGTAGATTATATTGATTCATATGGTGAGGAAGAGAGTAAAAGCACGAAGGGTGATGTCATGCACTTGTTTGATTTCTGATTCTTATCGATACTTGAGTTATGATGTTCCTTATAGTTACCTGCTGTCCTTCTGCTACCGTTTGATGTATTCCCACAGCATGTATCCCCCTCCCATACTTAACTGTACATTCCTGCTTTTATTTTCCGCTACATATGATTTAACTACGCAGGTTGTTTGGTAATTTGGTCCTAGCCTCGTCACTACTTCGCCGAGGTTAGGTTAGGCACTTACCAGCACATGGGGTCGGTTGTGCTGATACTACACTCTACACTGTATGCAGATCCCGGTACTGGAGCATACGGACCGTAGATTTGGGTTGCTGCCTTCAGTCCATTCGGAGATCCAAGGTAGTCCTGCAGACATCCGCAGACCCTGGCGTCTCCCTCTATCCTTTTACCCTGTTTCATTTATGCGTTTCAGAAACAATGTCGTATTTATTTTTCAGACCTTGTTTGTAGTATTCCCAGACCGTCTGTAAAGTGGTGACACCAGTTCTGGGTAGTATTTGTTTAAGGAATTGTATTGGAAATATTTAAATGGTTTTATATGTTCTTCCGCTTGTTTAAATTTCGCTGTTTATAAACTATTGGTTCATAATTGTTAAACGACTAAAATGGGAAAAAGATAAATTGTTCAAAAAGTTGGCTTGCCTTGCTTTCACTAGTAGGCGTCATCACGACTCCCGAAGGTGGGAAATCCGGGTCGTGACACCTTCCCCCTTTAGAAATATTTGTCCTCGAATGTTAACTCTCAGAGATTTGATAAATTTTTCACTCGGGTCTCTTCTGTAAATTAAACTAAATTCCAAACTATATCTGAAGTCTCAACTATTCACAACCTTTTGTACTTGAGTATCTCGATATTATTTACCTTTACCTTATTTACTTTTCAATCTCGCATTGTATCTTCTGTTTCTTTCATAACCTTCCTTCCACATAGGCAAAAATTACGCCTTAAAGCTCTACATACCTACACCTTTGATGCATACAAAATCTAGCGAAGGCTTCATACTAACTTCTTACGACTCACCTTTATGGCACGATTTGGAATCAAAGAAGGGTAATATTTCCTAAATTCACTATAGCCTCTCAATTATAAATATGGCGCGCAACACACCCATAAGTGAGACTCTACTAGGCACGGATTTGTAGACTCCCAAGGACACGAACTGCTCTGATACCACTTTTTCATATCCCAAACCCGGGGGGTTAGCACCCGATGCCGCACTGGCCAAAGCGAACCTCTCTGCAACTCTTTTATTTTTCTTTGAAACTATCATCAGCCAACATGGTCACAACTCGTAATATATAACTGTAAGTGAAAAAACACTGTATCACTGGACCATTTTTCTTAAAATATGAATACATATGGCCGGCCTCTGACATACTGTAAAAAATGAACCTCTGTCTACTAAGCCTCTAACATTATTTGACATCAAATGGGACAGGATACCGGTCTACCCATAAGTCTATAGCAAAACTTTGACACGATGACTCACAAACTCGGTTGCACTCCGAATGAGGTGGAGTCTTACCGATCCTTCGCTGAATGCTAATATTGTCTACTATGAGGGTTCACCAAATTGATTATCTATACCTGCACGCATGAACGCAGCATCCCCAACAAAAGGACATCAGTACGAATAAT